AAATGCTTTTTAATTATTCAATATTCTCTCGTATTTAAACTTTCTACATTATTCAATATACATTATATATTCATTGCTAACAGAACCTTCGAAATTATAAGTTCCATGCATCGCATGGACCGAAACTAGTGTTCGTAAAAAGCATCTTCTTCTTCACTGGTCGGCACTGGAGACAATATATCACTGGCGTATTAAGCAAAAATAATTGGTGATAATTTCGTATTTGCAGAATTTTCCATGTAATAAGTATTGTAGAAAGACCAATACGAAGACTGACTTACCTAGTCTGGGTCCAACTGATGCACCCGAGTGCGGCTCCTATATATACTGGCAAAAACAAAGATCGTAATCAGATTATCCAGGAGTATTTGTAACCACAAAAAAGAAAAGAAAATGCTGATTACAATTGGAGAAATGATTACTGGAGTAAGCTCTGCAATTGCAGGCTTAATGGTGGCTTATGCCATGTTTCAGAATTAACCCTATGAACTCCGAAAACCAGTCCAGCGTTACATCCACAAAATCATGAATTTAATATATCCTTATATGAAGATCACATTTCCAGAATATCAAGGTAGTGGATTTCATCGCAGCAAGGCATTTGCTGAAATCGAAAGGTATCTGAATGAAAATTCATCGAAGCAGGCGAAGCATCTCAAGGCCAACGTTTTACACGACAGCCAGGTTATAGTTCTTAGCATGGCTGATCACGAAGAGGTCACCAATGAATTCCAGGGCATCAAGCTTTGTTGGTCTTCCAACCGTGTCACTCCCAAAACACAATCCATTTCATTCTATCCGAGGGAGGATGCCAACAGGTATTTCACACTCACTTTCCACAAGTACAGGGATATCATTACCAGTTCTTATCTGAAACATGTTTTAGAAGAGGGAAAGGCTATTACTGTTAAGGAAAGGCAGAGGAAACTGTATACAAACAGCAAGAGTGAGAGTTGGACTTGGAGAAGATTCACGAGAAGCAATTGGAGCCATGTGGTATTTGAACATCCAGCAACTTTTGACACTTTAGCTTTGGAGCCAAACAAGAAGGAAGAAATTATCAAAGATCTGATCAGGTTTACTGAGGCGAAAGACTATTACGCTAAGATTGGCAAGGCATGGAAGCGGGGGTATCTCCTCTATGGTCCACCTGGAACTGGGAAGTCCACCATGATTGCTGCCATGGCTAATCTATTGAAATATGACGTTTATGATCTTGAATTGACGGCCGTTAAGGACAACACAGAGCTGAGAAAATTGTTGATAGACACGTCTAACAAATCTATTATTGTAATAGAAGACATCGATTGTTCACTTGATCTTACAGGCCAAAGGGAGAAGAAGGAGAAGACAGACGATGAAAAGAAGGAAGAAAAGGATAAGGATCCAGTTAAGGCGGAGGTGAAGAAAAGGGATGAAAATAACCAGAATAGTCAGGTTACATTATCCGGGCTTCTTAATTTCATTGATGGGCTATGGTCAGCTTGTGGTGGGGAAAGGATAATTGTTTTTACAACGAATTATGTGGAAAAGCTCGATCCTGCTTTGATTCGGAGAGGAAGGATGGATATGCATATAGAATTATCATACTGCTGCTTTGAAGCATTCAAAGTTTTAGCAAAGAATTATTTGGACCTTGAATCTCATGAACTGTTTGGCAGGATTGATGAGCTGTTACAGGAAACCAAAATGACTCCTGCAGATGTTGCTGAAAACTTGATGCCCAAATCAGCTGAAGAGGATGAGGAAGCTTGTTTGGTGAGACTCATCAAGGCTCTGGAAGAGGCAAAAGCCAAGGCTGAGGAAGAAGTAAAAATGAAGGCCGAGGAAGAAGCAAACAGGAAAGCAGAGGAAGAAGGGAAAGTGAAAGCGAAAGCGAAAGCAGAGGAAGAAGAGAAGCCAAAGGCTGAGAAAGAGAAAGATGAGGAGAGAGAAGCAAATGGTAAAGGTGTTGAAATTACTGCTGCAGTGAAAGATAATGGTGAACATCCTAAACATTCAGCGTCTAATGCTAATGGTGTGAAAGAAAATGGAGATGCCTCTCTTTGAAGATGTGATGTGATGATGTTCATGTGGTAGAAATGTTCTATTGTTGCCTTTCAATAAAAAGAAGTAAAAATATTACTAGTAGTTTCATTTCTAGCTGGGGATCTGGGTTAGGCTTCATTGCTGTCTAATTCTATTCTAGATATTGTGATTAATTAATTCATTAATTATAAGTTTTTGCTGACAGAATATATGTTATAATGCCGAATTTGAAGTCATAATTTGTGTTTGGACAGTCTCTTAAAAGTAAAGGCGATTGCAGTACTTGTCATTGCGATGGATAAAAAACGAAAGTCATGATTTGATCACTTCAATAAATTAATATGACTAAGTAATTGAAATTTGCACAAATACAAGATATCACCGCATCAAACTTATTTGAACTTTTTTTGGCAATCGTTTTTCGATAAAATTCATATTAAATATGTCTTCAAAGAAATACAACCAACCAACCAGGCAACTAACAGTCAATACAGCACATGTAAATGTTAGGATTAAGCACCACCCAAAGTATTAAAAATACCAGGTTAGCTAAAATCTATATTGACAAATTCAGAAAGTAACACATTCACATGCACAAATGTAACAAACTTAAGGAGGATTAGTAAATATGAGTTGCTGGTGGAATTAGATTTTGCCTGACTCAAAATGGCGACCTGTTTAAAGTGAAATCTGTAAGTGTAATGTCTTAGATTCAATCAATTTTGGATATAAACATTTCTAATATATATAATCGATGCGTATTTATAACAATATTTATTATTTAATTAAATTAATATTCTAATTTTAAAGTGAAATCTGTAAGTGTAATGTCTTAGATTCAATCAATTTTGGATATAAACATTTCTAATATATATAATCGATGCATATGTATGACAATATCTATTATTTAATTGAATTAATATTCTAATAAATTAAACAATAGAATCCGTATATTCAAATTTTAGTAATTTGTTAATTACAATGAGTAGTGATTGTGAGATACAAATTACATATGATTGAATCTTAAATTGTCTGTGATTGTATGTAATAACGAGATATGGATATCGTTATTACGGATAGACCATCACGTGTGTCATTTCTTACTTGTGAAGTAAGTAACTGATCTCACAAGTTAAAGTGTGGTGAGGAAGATGAGGAAACTTGCTTGGTGAGATTGATCGAGGCTCCAGAAGAAGCAAAAAGTAAGGCAGAGGAAGAAGCAAAAGCAAAAGCTGAGGAAGAAGAGAAGCTAAAGGCTGAGAAAGAGAAAAAAGAAAATGGTAAAGAAGGTGTTGAAGTTAATGAAGAAGTGAAAGAAAATGGTGAAGATAATAAACATTCTGTGGCTAACGGTGTGAAAGAAAATGGAGATATCTCTTATTGATGATGTGACATGAAAATGGGGATGGATTGAATGATTTGCAACAACAAAATAGGGCACAATAGTTGGGTTCAGTTTTAGATATATCAAATAAATGTATTTCAATTTTGTTCAATTAAGTAACTACACTTTAATCTGATTTTAATCATGCAACTGCATTTTAATTTAATTTCAATCGAATAACTATACTTTAATTTTGATTTCAATTAAGGTAACTTGTACAATTCCAATGACAAAAATTGATGACGTAACAATCAATTAAAGGCGATCATCACATGTGAAAGATAACTGCTGGCATGGAATAAGTGTAATTTTAGTGAAAATAAATGACCACATCATTGTTAACTGTCGTGATATTGATTCTTATCCGTCCAGTGGCAAATTTTTTCAATTAAAGTAAAATTAAACTATAGTTTGGAGATTAGACCAAATTAAAGGACAATTATTTGGCTAACACTATTGTGAAAGTACACTATTGAGAAGATATCTATGAAAAATGTGCAAAAGATTGGCGGAGAACATTCTATTGCAACTTCTCTTATACACTAGTCTTGGCTCGTGCAATGCACAGGTTGCGTTATTTCAAAGATAACGGTAGTACGTTAAATGTATTGAATTTTCGGGATTTACATCCACAATTGAATGTTTGCTATGGGTACACTAAGATGGAATTTCCCTTATTGAGCATGAAAAGAGAGAGATTAAAATATATGATCCCAAAACACAATAAATACTTCTACATGTGGATTACGACAAATAATACAAGTTGTATCCAATTTGTGCTGGTACTTAAAAACACGAATAGACTTTTCTCATGTGTATAAAAAACAACAGCTCAAAAGAAAAACCTTCGCCAAGGAGGAATTGTGCACGAAGTTTATGGAAAATAAACTTGCACGAGTCTTAGCCTCTTGGACATGTGGAGCATATAGTGGATCACCAGATTCAGCAAATTTATTAGCAAATTGTGCCATACTTGTCATGCAAAAAAAAAATTCTGTAAATACATGTTCATGAAAATATGTCGAATTAAAATCACCGCAAGTGTACGGTTTGTTAACAAGTAATAAAATGGATTTTGAGTCCAAATATCGTTCCCACAGAGATTGATTTAGTTTTAATTCTAATTATTGTGACCTTAACCGAAACAATTAAAATTTATAATTTTATTTTTTATAAATTAAATAATCTTCGTATAAAAACAAGAACTAAATTAATTAAAGTGAATGCAAGATTAGAATTTA